AATTAGACATCAAAATTGCTTTCTTGAATGGTGATTTAAAAGAAAGAATCCTGATGGAGCAGTCTGAGTTGTTTGAAAAGGGGACTACAAACCAAGTTTGTTTGTTGAAAAAATCACTATATGGATTAAAGCAATCACCTAGGCAGTGGTATTTTGACTGTTTTATGGTCAATGCTAGGTTTATTCAAAGTAGCTTTGATGGTTGCTTTTATTTTAAGTGTTTGTATGGTAAGTGCTACATTTATTTGGCTTTATATGTGGATGATATGCTTTTAGCTTGTAAAGATCTTTCTAAAATTGCTAGATTTAAGGAAGAGATGAGTAGACAATTTGAAATGAAAGACTTAGGGCACGCTAAGAAGATCCTAGGAATGAATATTGAAAGGGATAGAAAAATTGGAAAACTGATCCCGTCACAGAAAGAATATGCTAGAAAATTCATCAGGAAGTTTAACATGAGTGATTCCAAACCTGTCAAAACACCCTTAGGACAACACTTTAAACTCAGTTCAGTACAATGCCTAGAAACAGAAGAAGAAAGGGAGGAAATGGCTTGCATCTTGTATGCAAATGCAATAGGGAGCTTGATGTATTTGATGGTTTGTACCAGACCAGATTTAGCCTTTGCAGTTAGTTCTATAAGTAGGTTTATGAGTAATCCTGGTAATCCTGGGAAGAATCATTGGGAAGATGTAAAATGGGTGCTTAGGTATGTAAGGGGTACACTGACTACTGGTATTGTTTACAGAAAGGGGACAAATCAGGGGAATATCATTGTAGGATATGTGGATTGTAAACCTCGCATTATTATTTCGATGCACTAAGGTATNCATACAGGTTGAAGGAGTTGATTATAATGAAATTTTCTCACCAGTAGTGAGACATACCACTATCAGAATTCTCTTAGCTTTAGTAGCTCAGTTTGATTTAGAATTGGAGTAATTAGACATCAAAACTGCTTTCTTGAATGGTGATTTAGAAGAAAGAATCCTGATGGAGCAGCCTAAGTTGTTTGAAAAGGGGATTACAAACCAAGTTTGTTTGTTGAAAAAATCACTATATGGATTAAAGCAATCACCTAGGTAGTGGTAAAGAAAATTTGAATGTTTTATGGTGAATGCTAGGTTTATTCGAAGTAGCTTTGATGGTTGCTTTTATTTTAAGTGTTTGTATGGTAAGTGCTACATTTATTTGGCTTTATATGTGGATGATATGCTTTTAGCTTGTAAAGATCTTTCTGAAATTGCTAGATTTAAGGAAGAGATGAGTAGACAATTTGAAATGAAAGACTTACAGCAAGCTAAGATGATCCTAGGAATGAATATTGAAAGGGATAGAAAAATTGGAAAACTGATCCTGTCACAGAAAGAATATGCTAGAAAAGTCACCAGAAAGTTTAACATGAGTGATTCCAAACCTGTCAAAACACACTTAGGACAACACTTTAAACTCGGTTCAGTACAATGCCTAGAAACAGAAGAAGAAAGGGAGGAAATGGCTTGCATCCCTTATGCAAATGCAATAGGGAGCTTGATGTATTTGATGGTTTGTTCCAGACCAGATTTAGCCTTTGCAGTTAGTTCTGTAAGTAGGTTTATGAGTAATCCTGGGAAGAATCATTGGGAAGATGTAAAATGGGTGCTTAGGTATGTGAGGGGTACACTGACTACTGGTATTGTTTATGGGAAAAATCAGGGGAATATCATTGTAGGATATGTGGAAGCTGATTATGTAGGAAATGTAGACAATAGGAAATCCATGACTGGTTTTTGTTTCCTTTTTTGGAATAATTTGGTTTCTTGGAAGGCTAATCTGCAAGCAATTGTTACTTTGTCAACTACAGAAGCAGAATACATTGCCATTACAGAGGCTGTCAAAGAAGCAATGTGGCTCAAGGGAATGCTTGAGGAAATGAGTTTGAATCAGCAGCAAGTTCCAATCAAGAGTGACAGCCAAAGTGAAATTTTTCTGTGCAAAAATCAAGTGTTTCATGAGAGATTGAAACACATTGATGTTAGGTTGCATTTTATAAGGAATCTGATTGAAGATAAAGCCATTAAGGTGGAAAAGGTTCCTGGGAGTGAAAACCCAGCAGACATGTTCACAAGTTTGTTGTTTTGGACAAGTTAAGGCTCTTTAAGAGCCTTCTGCACATTGAAGAAAATTAGAAGGAATTCCAGGGCAGTAAGTGAGGGCAATGATCAAGTGCGAAGATGGAGATTTGTCGTGAGATGGCAATTGATTTATGCCCACGTGGAAGTCAAAATACAACTTGGGCAGTCAAAGTTATTATGCTAAAGCAAAGGGGCAATTATATCATATCTAGTATTCAATAAACCTAATCCAAATTAGGTTTTGCTCATTTTCAGTTTCTCTCGAGCTTTCTCTCTTGGTTAACAGAGAGAGAAAGTTTGTTACGAACTGCTGGATGCGCTGGAAATCTGAAGAGCATTGATGGAATCAACGGTGGTGGTAGGTCTTAGCTGGATTATTCTTTCTGTTACACTTTCTATATAAATCTGTCACTAATATTTGGTTATTGTGTTTTGTGTATGAGAGGTGAGGAGATCTGGGTTTTACAAAGGGGTTTTGTGCACCGTGCAAAGGGTGAGCGTATATCTCTATAAGGTTCTCTATTCTCATAGTAGAATCAGCTTATTGCCCTGGAGAGTGGATCTAGGTAATCTGTAAAGATTACCGAACCACTATAAATCATTGTGTCTTTTATTTTCTAGTTTATTATCTATTTATTCTTTGTGATTTATCTGCTCGGTTAGATGTTGGTTTGCTATTGGTTTTTCGTTTGGTCTCTTTAATTGCAACAAGTAACATAGGTATTATGACAAAATAAAGAAATATCACATTAAGTATGACAAAGAGTATATACCATGACTAAAAAAAAATATTATCATAATATTTTGTTCCAAAGAAGAAACCTATAAGAAATATAGTAAAGAAAAACATTTTTATCACAATATTTCGTCACAAATTTTTGGCGTCAAATTTTGGCGCCTGAGAAAATTGTTTGTTATGACAAACATATTTTGTCATAAAACATTTTAGTCACTAGATTTAGTTATACATGCTATAACTACAAATTATATTATCACAAAAGAATTTATTTATTATTACAAAAAAAAAAAAAAATTGTCATAATATATGCTGAAATAGAGGTATTAATGACAAAATGTTTGAGTCAAAATTTAAGAGTCAAGATAAATTATTTATCGTGACAAACATATTTGTCATCAAAAACTTTAGTCATTATATTTAGTAATACATGTTATAAGTACAAACTAATTTCTTACAAAAGAATTATTTGTCATTACAAAAAATAAACATCATTTATAAATGTTAAAATTGAGGCATTAGTGACAAAATATTTTAGTCAAATCACTGCAAAAAAATGTACATTCTGCAACCAAATTTTTAGCAACTGCCTAATACTAGTTGCAGATACCCCACCTTTAGCAACTAAAATGCAATTGGTCGGTAGAAGGGGATAAGACCATTTATTCCTATGTTTGGTGTCTAAAATTAATATCTTGTGATTCTTTGATTAGTTGCACAATAATTTACATTAACGACTAATTTGATTTGTTGGAAATTTTTAGGCGGAAATTTTTCTCAATAAAGTAGAACAATTGACATTTAAATATGTGATTTCGCATCTAAATTTTTGGTTATAGAAAACAATTATTGACAACTACACTATAGTAGCTAAATTAGATGACACATATTTGTTAATTAATTGGTAATTATTTTGATTAGTTACAAAATAACAAAGTTATCGAAATATCCAAATTTTTGACAATAATTATATACGTCCTGTAGACGTAAAAATCTACCTGTACGGAAAGAGGTGTCTGATCCCGTGAGGTTGAGGCCACTAGCGATCTGCTGTACCTGCACACGTAGAGAAACACACGCGTGAAGCGAACGGGAAACACCAGGGTGGTGTTTGCCGTAGGCACTCCGACGCTCAAGTCAGCAAGGCTGAAAGGCTAATATAGTGAGGGCTAGGGAATGAGAGATTACCGGAAGTCTAGTCGGGGACTGTGACTACGGCGAATAAGCGAGACTCTCAAGTAAAGAGCCTTGGGTGTGAAGGTGTAATGTCGATGTCCCTTGTGAGAGGGCTGGCCTCTGCTTATATAGTGGTCGTCTGGTCTTTCAATCCTGGTGGGAGCAGGAGTCCTAGTGTGACTTTGATGACAACCCTAGAAGAATCAGGGCCGTAATCAGTTGTCTTTATCAGTGTCTAGATAGGAAGTTAATTCCATTTAGGAGAATGAACCTCAAGTGGGAAGGTCGCCAGGAAAGAGGAAGACGACCTTGAATAGGGGACTGATCAAGAATGGGAAAATGTTGAAGGGGCTATGGGCTCTGGGCTCACCCATAGGCCTAGATATTGGACAGGGCTTAAGGGGCTCGCGCCCATGTAGTTCGGGCCGGTTATACTTCGTATCAAATAGGGCTAATCCGAATTGGGCCTCTGTAAGATTGGGCCTGGTCATTCTTCACCAGTGGTCTTGTTTCCTTATTTGGGCCGAGGACGATTTTTGGCCCTAACACGTCCTAAGGTATATTTAGCAACAAATTATTTTGCGCATATTAAAAATAGTTGTAAAAATGCAGCTATAGTAACCAAATTGGATTTAGTCGCCAAAATTAATTGATATTTTCATATTCCCACCCAATTTTCTGTGTTCCGGCCAGAGGAAAATCATAGGTAACCAAAATGATTATTTGACAACTAAAAAATTAGCTCCAAATTATCGTGTTTGGCAACTAAAATTTTAGCTGCTAAATATGGTTTACAAAATATGAGATATACTAATGATAGCTAAAAAATTAGTTAAACAAATAATGAACCAAAGAAATGACTAATATTTTAAATTAATTACCCATTCCTATATAAACCCAACCTAATTCCCAATCCTTGGTTCCCAATTTCCCCTTTGATATTTTTAGCTTACACAAACAGAGAGTTTTCAAGAATGGGCCAAGATGATGAGGACCCAGAAAAGCGTGGGTCAAAATCTTCATCGCCGTACAAATGGTTGAGCAACTTTCACCATGATCTGTTGGCAGGGGCGGTTATGGGCGTTGTAGTGCACACGATTGTGGCCCCAATCGAGGGAGCGAAACTATTGTTGCAGACCCAAGACAGCAACCTGACCATTGTTGGGAGTGGACGAAGACAATTTAAGGGTATGCTTGGTTGTATTGTCCGTATAGTCCGAGAAGAAGGCCTTTTATCTCTTTGGAGAGGCAATGGCAGTAATGTGCTTCGTTATTATCCTTCTGTTGCGCTTAATTTCTCCCTTAAGGTATCTAATCAAGATTTTTTTTTTTTTTTGAAACTTTAGTTTATTGTTATCTTGCTTTAGTTTTAATGCAAATTTTATTGGTTTGTACGGTTTTTTTCGTTTGGTGTTGTTTCTTGAATATTTTTCCGGAGGTTTAATACTTTGTCAGTTATTTTTTTGTGTATAATTGATTTCAATTGGGTATTTAAAGTATTTCCGAGTAAAGAAAATGGGAATGCGACTGACCTGCAAGTCAGACCACCGGGACCTAGAACAGGACAGCCACACTTGTCGTTGCAGTGAACTATTCCTCCTCCCTTCAATATGTCTGCCATATTCTTTTTCCTTCTCTTTGATTCAGGTTTAAGTTATTGTGCCTTCTGTGTTAGCTAGCATTTCTGTTTCTATTTGCTCATGTTCCGTGTTCTTGTGTTAAACACATAGGTGGCACAAACAGCAGATTGATTCATGGCTTTCGTGGCCTCACTATCTCATGCATTAGAGACAATGCCAACACATGCACATGTTCAATCTTTTTTAACAAATTTAAGCCCAACCGCTTCTCTAAAGCTTAGTTTTATACAATTAAAAGAAAACACTTAAAAACAGAAACCTCTTTTATGGCCCTGCTATAACAATTACTTGGTGTTACCAAAGGAGATTAATTTCCCGGCAGGATTAACAGTTGAAGGATTTAGAATCTGATGCACAATTTCCTGAAATTCATTAGTTTCTGTAATCTGAGTGCATAAACATCTAGTAGAATGGTAAACTTAATTTGTAGAATCTCTTAAGCGTATGAAACTTTGTTATCATCCGGAACTCTAATACATACTTAATACTTTGTCGATATAAAATGAATCGAATGTAATTTTGGGTAAACAATTTCGATGCAGATACATTAATACTTTGTCAGTTATTCAAGGTACCACTTTTGCATAAATATAGATGGAGCGATATTACTGTGGAGGCTGAAAGTAGTAAAATCTCTAATGAAATTGAGTCTCCTACAGATCCCGTGTAGAAGGTGAGGTATTTCATATACCTGGGTTGCACATATATTTACACAATTTCGTACTCAGTATCCATGTGTGGGTATTTGAGTTTGCAGATTCCAATAGACTGGAGAGTGATCTTGAAGAGTTGAATTGCTCTTTGAATTTAGTTGCATCACAGGTTGGTTCTCCATTGACAACAATTTTTTTCTTTTACTATTTGTTTCAAACTAGTTCTTCTGTGGTTAGAAAAATAATATTAGCTCAAGCTTGTTGTTTAACTGAAGCAATTGATGATGATGAATTTTGTGTACTATCTACTTGGGTCAGGGTAAGGCTATAGAGGATCCACATGCTGATTGCTCTAAAGATGGAGAAGATCAATCAGATATGATAAAAATTCATGAAGACCAGAAATTTGAGGTGTTAATCCTGAACACTTCTGTTTAGTACTTCCATGATTGGTTTCTGAATTATTTTTTATGACACTTGTGTACCTTCCAGCTTTTAGAACTTGAAAGTGATATTGAAAAGAATAATGTAAAAACTTTGAACTCCTTGCAAGATCTCAATTCTATGTACAAATTTTAGTGACCTGCTTGAATGTTGTTAATCCTGAACACTTCTGTTTAGTACTTCCATGATTGGTTTCTGAATTATTTTTTATGACACTTGTGTACCTTCCAGCTTTTAGAACTTGAAAGTGATATTGAAAAGAATAATGTAAAAACTTTGAACTCCTTGCAAGATCTCAATTCTATGTACAAATTTTAGTGACCTGCTTGAATGTTGTACTGACTACCAAGTTTGTGGATCTGCAGTAGCCCCAAGTTCTGGATTTTGTGACTTGTAAGAAAGGTTGATGATCTCCGTGTCAAAAAAGTAGTAGCGATTTTCTTGGTCATAGTTATTGATATCATAACTAACATAGTACTGTGACTTAAATTAAATTATTGAATCCTGCCCTCATTATATGTTGTTTTCCTCTAATTTGTTTAGGAGGAGATTAAGATAACTAGCGTAACGGTGTTTGTCAATCCTTACTCAAAACTAGATGAAAAGAAGGCCAAAGAAGAGGAAAATGCTAAGGATGAAGATAAAGTTCGTTTCGAGACTCTTTTAAATATCAGTTGCCTTTAGAAATTATCATTATTGAGATGACAAAAATATTTGTCATGCCTATATTATTTTCACAATAAAAAATTTGTCATGTAAAAATATTTGTATCAAAAATTATTAATCATGCTATTAAATTTTTGACAAAATCATTTCCGTCACTATACAATTTTTGACAAATAATATTGTCATATAAACAAACATGTTACAATATAAATGTTATCACAATAATGTCAATGACAAATACACTATTAAAATTATGAGCAAATAATTTAGTCACTATTCACAATTTTAATAAAATCAATTTTGGCATAATATATTATTTTCTCACCATAAAACTTATCATTTGATCTTTAAATATAAATCAATTATGACAAAATATTATCTATAGTGATAAAAATTGTTTTTTATTATTACAAATAATTTATCACAATAAACTAATTTAAAGTGATAAATTATTATTGTCATAATAAATAATTAGACTATGATGATCAAACGTTATTTGATATTTATGATGACAAATTATTTTGTTGTAAGAAGCCTAAATTCTTGTAGTGTAGCAAGAGCAAACTGATCTTTGGCAAAGCTATTTTGTTTTTTTCTCCTCTTCTCTCTTACTTTATTCTTCCTTTGGTTGAATTGATTAAGAAAGACTATTCCTTTTGAGGTTACAAGATATGATGATGCTCATTGTTTTTTGTTATTTTTGCTTAAAAATCTCTTCTTTTATCTTTCTTAGTTGATGAAAGATCATGAGCTATGTATGTAATTGACATAATTGTATGTTGAATGAGTTGGGTTTAGTTAATTTTGGGTAATACGTTTAGTTTTTATAATATGAAAATCATTGAAGACAATTATATAATTAATAATTTGGTATGTATAACTTTTAAATTAATTTTTTAGATTACATTTTTTTATGTTTATTACTTCAATATATATTTTATTATAAATTTATCAACTTAAAAGTTTTAACCTCACTAACTAAAAATCTTGACTACGTCAATCGAATTGAGTTGCTCGTTTTAATTTATCAGGAAAATATACATAGGAGGTCAAAATGCAGCATCTTGTAGACGAATTCAGCAAACTTTGGAATGGATGGGAAATCCGAGTGTTGATTTTACTTAGCCTTTTTTTACAATACATTCTCATCATGTTTGGTTCACGACGAAAATATATAGCAAGAACCTGGATACAGATCCTAGTTTGGCTAGCATACATGTCAGCAGAATTGGTGGCAACTGTTGCCTTAGGCATCCTTGCCAAAAACAGTGGAGATTTTAAAAATAATTATTCGAAATCAAACCACCTGCTCCAAGCATTTTGGACACCCTTCCTTCTTCTACACCTTTGTGGCCCGGGCACTATCATCGCTTACTTTTTAGTAGACAATAACTTGTGGCTAAGACATTTTCTTAGGCTGCTTGTCCAAATTGGTGTAGCATTTTATGTCATTGTCAGGTCTTGGAGCAACAATGCCTTCACATTTCTTGCCATTTCTGTTAACGGATACAGGCCAAGTTTAAAGCTACAAGTCGTTTTGTAATCAATCTTTTACATTTTTAGTTGTCGTATATATATTTGTTATTCTTTCATTCCTTTTTGCACATGTCTGTTAACTGGCACAATATGATAGGTTGGGTTGTTAGTTTGTTACAGAGTCTTTGTATATATGCTTGATATTTCACCCTTGTATTGGAAAAAACTTTTCTGAAATGGAATATTCAATTTTCCTCCATTGATACGTTCTCTGTGTTTTTGGTTGCTCGACTGCCATTATTCTTCTCCTTACATGGTGTCAAAGCCTTCGAGAGCATCTTCAATGGCAACCTCCAATTCTGATTCTTCTGATTCTCACTCTAATCTATAATAAAAAACCACATCTCCATACCTTAATCTCCTTGATCTGGCGAACCCCTATCAGCTTGACCATGGTGACAGCCCAGCCCTAACCTTCGTTGCCAATCTCCTCACCACAACCAACTATGCCACCTGGTCTCGGTCAATGCATTGTGCACCCCGCACGAAAAATAAATTGGGTTTTATCACCGAATCCATCACCAAACCATCTAAACCCAACGATTCGTTGCTTGAGCTTTGGGAGCGCTGTAACGACATGGTTGCTTCTTGGCTCCAAAACTTTATTAGCTTTTCTTTTCAATCCAGCATTCTCTTTGTTGATGATGCTCAAGAAATTTGGTTGGATCTTTAGGAACGTTCTTGGCACCAAAATGGTCCCCGTATTTACCAACTCAAGAAGGCGTTGGTTGTTCTGCTTCAAGAACACGATCTGGTAAGCATTTACTATGGCGAGTTAACAGCTATCTGGGATGAACTTTCTGTGTATGATCCCATACCTTCTTGTAATTGTGGTACTATAAAAACCTTACTGGATCGATGTCAAAGAGATTGTGTGCTTCAATTTTTGATGGGTCTCAACGACTCTTACTCCCCCATCCGAGACCAGATTATGATTTTAGATCCCATCCCACCTGTCTCCAAGTGTTTTCCCTTGTCCAACAGCAAGAATGACCTCCCATACTCCATCCCCCAAAACTATGGCCATGGCAATCTAGAAACCCTACACCTCTTCCAAACCCTCACCTAAACCAAACCACCCTCCAAAAAAAGTCTGTCCTTATTGCAGCCACTATAAAATAACTGGTCATACTTTCGAGACTTGTGTCAAAGCTAGCAATGCTGAGCCCCCTCTTTGCTCACATTGCAACATGACTGGCCATACCATTGAGAAATGATACAAACTCAATGGATATCCACTTGGCCACAAATATCATACCAAGCAGCAACAACAATCTGGTTTCCTTGCAAATCAGACATCTTTTTCGTTTGCCAATGACTCTGAAGACAACAATGATGCCAAGTTTGGTATAACCAAGCGCCAATATTAGCAACTGATGGCATTGCTCAGACCTCAGGATTCACCAATTGTGGCTTCCACTGTCCACTTCAGCAACCCACCTCAACCCTTCCTTCACCCAGTATCATCTTCCAAAATGTCTGGTACTTCCACCTCTTTATCTACTCACACACACTACTCACCACATACATTATCTATTGCTTGGATCCTAGACACAAGCGCTACAGACCATATGGTCTGTAGCACCACACTTTTCACCACTATTTCATCTACTATGTCTTATTTTGTAAAACTACCTAATGGTCATTCTGCCCTTGTCACACACATTGAAACAATTCACTTAACGAATTCCATCATTTTGCATGATGTCTTCTG